ATCTTTAATCTTTAATCTTTAATCTTTAATCTTTAATCTTTAATCTTTAATCTTTAATCTTTAATCATTAATCATTATTCATACACGGTAAAAACATCAGGTAGAAAAAAAATTACATAACAATGACTAAAAATCCTAATCCTAACATTATGTTAACTTTCAACAATATGTTAGGTCACTGTATGTCACCCGACGTAACCGTACTCGATCTGTTCGGTAATCAAACTTATTAATCGAACGATTGGGTTCGATTGAGTTCGGCAATCGAACAAAATCGAATCGAAAACTTTGTACGAGAGTTCGACTGCGTTCGTCTCAGGAAGATTCTCTTAGATTGTCTCTCTTAGCATGCAAGAACAAAGAATCAAGTGAAATGAACAATAAAACATCAATGTAACTTGACTGTAGCATTATGCATTACTGCTGTTTCTTTCCTTAGAGAAAGAATCGGCAAACTTTAAGCTGATTCAAAAATGTAACTTTTTGTTGTTGTTGTTGTTGACGCCAGACAGTTGTCTGCTCAGTGCCCCGGCCTTTTGGATGGCAGCGAGGTTGGAGTTGACCTTGTTTTGATTCAGACCTCACTGCTACTTATTGTGTAAAACAAGTTTTTCTGATACTTACTAGGTGCATTTACATGACAAAAGCAGTGAGGTCTGTATCAAAACAAGGTCAACTCCAGTCTCGCTGCCATCCAAAGGCCCGGTCACTGAGCAGACAACTGTAAAATGGTCTATTTGTAGGGAACAATCTGGTCTTGGATAACGGAGTATGACACGCTAGAGGAGGGAGGCATTCAGAAAAACACGCACACGTTTCCTATATATAACTCCCATTTTTAATTGAATGTATTTCAACTTCGACCAATCTTGTGAGAGTTCGATTGTGTTGTGTTCGATTGCTTAACTCAATCAAACCCAATCATCCGTAGCAAAAAAGATGGTGACTGGTACACTTACCCATAGTTCTTAGCGAGCGAAAGCCTTAACAACGTTCATAAAAACGCACAGAAGAGTTACAAAATCTTCAAAACCTAGCATACACAATGTCCTTCGTACAGGGACAAATATTGTAAAAAATTGGCTTTCTTTGTGCCTTACAGGCTGTGTTAGGTTCGCAAGGTGTTGTGGTAAAATGTACAACCGCCATCTTTTTTCCTAGGGTGGATTGCTCGATTAAGTTCGAACTGAGTTCGATTAAGTTCAATTAATCGAAGTAGCTAACATTGTACTAATGCGGCTGTGGGAAGTGATATTCAAATCGTTCTTTGTCAAATTAAACAATAATCAAATCACATTAATTTGTAACCTGCGAACGCAGACGTATTTCCGGCCGTCGCGTGTCTCCGCCAAAAATAAGGTCTGCGGACCCGAGCCAGGAAACGATTTCTGTGACGTAGGAATTTTAAGCCAATCACAGTTTAGCTCAAGTGGCCCCAGAACTGCTGCTCGAGGTATTCGCTACGAGGAGCACTCGAGTTTCATTCTATCATTGAATCTGATTGGCGCAAGAGAAACAAAAGTCATTACGTCACAGAAATCGTTTCTTGGCTCGGGCTCGCAGACGCTATTTTCGGCGGAGACAAGCGACTGCCGGAAATACGTCTGTGTTCGCAGGCTAATAAATTTGGTATTCTTCAGGATTCTGTGATCTCGGACAATGCCCCAAGCTATCTGGAACAACTCTCGCTTGCAGTTTTGGAATCGTTGGGCATGTTCAAACGTGAAAGGGATGCAAAAAAATGTTTGGAAGCTGACATGTGGTGTCATTTCGGAAGAGCCATAATCCGAGGACCCAATGAAGGTAACATTCTAATAGGTTCTGAGTTCTACTCAGGTGACACACACAAAGAAATGAATAGATTTCTAAGAACTGCAATGAACAAGTTGACTGAGGTGAAGGGACTTTTGTACAAAAGACTGAATTTGTTTTTATATTGTGTAAATCTTAGCACAGATAGCGTTTAATTCCTACTTAGAAACAATGTTCATTACTTTCTTAAACACAAAACCAGAACTGCGTTAATCGTGTTCTGTTAATCTTTCACAGACGAAGCTGCTGAGGGAGTGTGGAGTATCGACGACGCAACCGGAAAGTTCCGATCATCAGCAGAAGGAAATTATTGGAAAGTTGCACTTAATGAAGGAGTGGATTTCATGGAAGATATCTTCAAAAGAAATTATCGCAAAAAAATGCCCGAGGAATATACCGAATATGACACTAGATATGACTTAACATTTCTAACTCCAGGTTGTTATCAAATACGGTGCAAGGTAAGTTAAACTCGGGTATATTCGTAGTGGTTTTTTTTTTTTTACTGTCACGCTTTCATTTACGCGATTTGCCTGCGCTGTTGTTTTTGTTCGATAAACATTGTCGTCTTCAAAGTTGTGTCATACTAAGCAGACGGGTAAATTTGGTGAGTAATGTTGTGCCCTAAATCAACAGGTGTGGGTAGCAAAGGAGGATACCAGGAAAAAGTTGGAGGACATTCCAATCCCGTCTAGTGACGTCAGAAACATCCTGGATGAGATCTACTTTGAAGATGAATCAACCCGTTCAAGATGTCGAGGATGGCTAATTCTTGTGTCAAGAAGATTTTTAAAGGCCGATATTTTATTTCCCGGATGCGAATTTGATTGCAGATTTACCGTTCGAGGACAAACAGGTGGGGTGTAGGAGTAATTATTTCAATGATTATGTCATGATTGTAGGTAACTAATGCAGCAAATTATATTAGTATTGATAGTCTGCACAATTAATGATAGTATATACTCTTAATTAGGCTCACAAGACGGGAGAGTATGAATAGAACCGTACAGCGGCCGGTAATCGAGCCTAATAGAACATTCGAAAGAATATTTTATCTCTGGCTTGACATTGCGATGTCCAATAAGACCAATAATGATCATGATACACATCGTTGAATTATTTTAGAAAGGGAATTGGTGGGAATAAAAGTTACTTACATCCCTTCTTAAAATGATCTACCAAGTGAGTATTTATGTCTGAAAACTTTTGTCTATGACAGCGGAATTAGTATCAACAAGACGCTATAATAAGTAAGTGGAGAAAAGAAATATTAGTTACCATGGGCCCGTTTCTCGAAAGTCCCGGAAAGCCCCGGAAACAGTTAATCTTTATTTAAAGATAAAGAAGTGTATACGTCTGAAACTTCTGTTCCTATTGAGAATATGTGCATAAAACGGCTCTGAAGTCATAGGGTTTGAGTTTTTGCTTTTCGGGTCGGAAACTTTTCAGGACCTTGGAGAAACGGGCCCCAGGGCAGGTTGCATGCGCAACGTGTGCATTTAAGATGCTGTCTCTATTTGCCTTTTAGGCGCTCAAGAAAATGTGATCGTGCCTATCGAGACAAACATCACTTTACTTGAAGTTTGTCATATCATTGTTCCATAACAGCCTTTTAAACGTAATGCGTGCAATTTTAGGAGAGTTAGGCTAAAAAATGCAGAATTAATTATTTCTTGTACGAAAATTGTTACACGTCATGTTCTAAAGAGTGAATATTGTACTGTTTGTCTAGAACGTGCTGAAGCTTTTGACTATGTACCTAAAGAAGAAGTAAGACGCGTTTTGTCACAATATCTTTCTGGAACGACTTTTGCCAAAGATGATGCTTTTGGACTACGCCTACCAAAGAACGAGATACCCAAGGGATTTCACTTAGTTCATAAGCGGTCATCCAAACGAACAGTATACACTGCTAAGCCAGGATTTAGCATCATTTTATCAAAGGAATGTTCATGGCGAAGTGTCGTAGCAGAGGAAAAATCCAGAGAATCGGTAATAATTTTGTAAAAGGACATACATAGACACGAAAGACCGTGATTGACTACATTTCCAGACACCGAGAAGAGAGATGAAAATAAGACGCGTAGCGGAGTATTTTTGACGAACTACGAGATGTTTGGAAATGTGGTCAAACACTGTCTTGAGTGTTTGATATATTCTCTCAATCGAAACTATAACTAAAGAGAAAGCGGAGAAATAAAATCGTAAAAATTTATGCTAATTAAGATCAGATTTCCAAACACCGTCACGGTTTCCCTTGTCAACGTGCAGAGCCATATGCATTGTGGCATTTATTGATTCAACTCTTTGCTTCGCGACGTTTTTGTTCCCTTTGCCTGCGTGGTTTTCTTAAGCTTCTTAATATTAATGGAACCAATATGTTGGGTTAGCTTGCTAGTGTCCTCTACCGTGCTAGGTCTCCAGGACTGTCTTCCTTCTTCCGTATCACTGAGGCTTTCGTCCTCAATGTTGCAATGCGTATTTCCAATTCATTCTAATTATCTAACCTTGATTGTTTCAGATAATAAAGAACCATTCTAATCACAATATGTCACTTGAAATGAAAAATGAATTTAGACGCTTTTTAACCTCGGCTTTCCAGCGTACTGGTTGATCTCAAAGGAACAGATGATAAGTCCTAAAAATGTTACAGCCAAGCACAATAAGTAAAAGCTATGATTTTGGTTATCATCAAAAACTCATTAATAAATCATAAAGAAAACACGCGCACAAAAGAAATAAATGTTTAAATAATGTCTTTAAATTTGATGAAGACACGGCTAAATTTTGCAGCCGATTTTCTCCAGAAAAATAATAATAAACCCAAGTAGATGTACCACAAACGTTTTCGAAGCTGTTCAAAAAACTCGCAGCATGTGTTTTAACGGGTTTAAAACTTTCGGCTAGGCCTCGTGTTTTAAATTCGATAAAACACTGCTGCTCGTTTGCTTTCACTAAGTTTGCCCAAAAAATAGCCAATAGGGTCCCTTGGTACAGTCTGGTAATTTCCCTTGTTTCATGCAGTCCAACCCCTATTAAGCAGCCACTTATTAAACTGCCACCCCTATTAGGCGGCCAGTAATCAAAGTTCCTATGAGGGCTTTTCTATTATTTTACCTCTATTTAGTGGCCAGTCCCCTTCAAGCGGTCACTATCCATTTTCCCGAGGGTGACCGTTTAATAGGGGTTGAACTGTATGCAGAATTACCTTTTTTCTTATACCGTCTACTTTGTATTGTAGACTGATCTCCATTTACATTGTGATGAATGGGACCAGTCATTCAGCAGCGGGCAATGGGAACCAGAGGTCATA